CCCCCCGGCTTCTAGCCTGAGCCACTGCAAACATGCGCTTGCATTTCTGGGATGTCTGTCCGGTTACAAAACTGATTTAACCTAGGCAGGTTAGACTAACCTGCAAAGATCAAATCAATTCAGGCTCAGGCTTTTTGAATGTCTGTCCCTTGGTGTCCACATACGCTGAGAAGTAACCCAGTTTGAGCAAGCTGGACACGCAGCACCCACTTAAACTCAATTATAATCCAGATATAAGTACAAATGACACATCTACAGCAATGACTTCGATACAAAGCACAGCAGCCACAAAAATATTCATTTGGAACATAGCTGGTGTTGATAGTAGTTGATCTGCTGTGCACTTTTATATAAAAACTATTGTGTAGGGCTTAAAGTACCCAAGTGCAAAGTGGGAACCCTGAGGGCTCTTCAGCCTAAGGACAGGTAAACCCACATCTCCTGCTTCCCAAGAGAGTGCCCTAATCACCAGGCACTATGGCATAACCATAGAATAGTTTATAAGTTGCACCCATTACTCCTCCTTTTGAAACTGGGTCACTCCAAAACCAAGAATACAAGAGGAAAAGAATGAACACAAGGGATCATGGCTATAACTTAACAGAAAAAGCACTTAGCTTAGAAGTGGGACACCTGGGTTCTGTGCTTTCTGGATTATTTCTGCTTATTTAGTCACTTGCTAATATAAAATGCTTTAAACTCCTAATCTTTTTTTGTTTGTTTTTAGGGGGTTTTTTTGGTATTCTTGTAAAAATGTTGCAAGTGAGGGGTGGGAGAAAGGGCAGAATTATTCTGAAAAAATAGAAGTTACATTAGTATTTTATTTATCAGGTAAAAGAGAACCTCATATTAAAGGCAGGCAATGTTGTGCAAGTAACTAAAGAGGCTCTTGATAATCTGAATAAAGTAAAGGAAGACCTGACAGAAATTTGGACAACCTGGAAGCTTCAAATAAATCAAGTTAAGTCCATCAAACAACAGAGCTGGAAACTTAAAGAGCAGTTTAAAAAAGTAAGTGAAACACAATTGACAAAAGAGTGGTGCTAAATAGGGCTGTGCAAAGCTTTGGGTGGTGATTCAATTCAGAG